TTTTTTTTTTTTTTTTGGGTTTTTTTTTTTTTTTTTTTTTGGTACCGGGGTGTAATTTATTTTTTATTGAGATGATATTCATGTGACATAAAGTTAATATTGGGGACTTAACCCAGTTTAATAAAATTCAATTTAACAATATCTTCTCATGGTCAGTGCTTTTTGTGTCCAGATTACAGTCAAGAAGTTGTTTTCTTTGGTCGCCACCGCCTGGGCTTTGGGGGAAATGGCCAGATCATTAGGGATCAGTAATCAAGTGGATTAATCCTTGATGAGATCCTAACTTGATGGCTTTGTTGGGAAGTGACAGAAACGAGCTGGGGCCTGGACATAGGGGTGGATCCTGGGGTCTTGACTCTAGAGCCTATACATAATCCAGCCTCTTCTCTGGCCCATTCTCGGCTCCCCAGCCACCATGAGGTGAGCAGCTTGCTCTACACACCTTTCCGCCACAATGTCTCCACCTCACCTCAGACCACAGCAGGGGAACCAGCCAGCCACAGCCTGAAACCATCAGCCAAAACAAGCGTTTCCTCCTTTAAGCCAAACAAACAAAACCAGATTGTTTTCTTTTCTTTTGTTTTCTATAGGCTTTACCTTTCCTAACTAAGCTTATGATCTATTGCAGATTAATGTCTGCATATCATATAAGGTTGGGAACCAAAGTTCAGCTTTGCCATTCTGTTCAAGGCCCCACGTGCTCTCGGCCTGGGTGCAGTGGTGCTGTGGACAGAGTAGTTCAGAGCAGCCTGGAAGCTACGCACTTCCTGGGACTCCTTCCCAGAAGCCCAAACTACAGGCCCCTTCTGCTGCCCTCCCAAAACCTTTGTAAGCTCTGAGTGTCATAAATTAAAATTCCTTTCTCTGAAACACCCATGTTGAATTGTTCCTCACTCCATACCCTGACTAGCAAGCTCACCCAGCCAGTCCCCAGGGCTGTCTGTGGCAGGGACTACTGCCTGGAGCTGAAGTACCTTGTGTCCCTAGAAGATGCCTTTGGTGAAAGGTACCACCTTTGCGTGAAGGGTAGGGGGACTGTGGTGAGACAGGAGAGAAGAGCTCTCCTGTGGTTTATTTTCAGTCATTGCCGTTTACAGGGAAAGGCGGTGGCCGAGACCACATTACATGAATGCACAGTCTGGCCTCCAGCCCCGAAGGCCCTGCTCCCGACTCTACCACTCACCCACGAACACTCTCTTCAGGAACTGGAAATGTCATGAGCCGCACATATGTACCTACAGTCCTAGCACTCAGGAGGCTGAGGCAGGAGGATCCCTTAAGCCCAGGAGTTTGAAACCAGCCTGGGCAACATAACAAGACTACACATAAATATATATCCATGAAGAAATACTGGACAAAACTAGATTGAGGGGCAGTTTAAACTACCAGGCCTAGTAGGAAAGCATGTGCTTCACATGTGTGAGGCCCTTAGTTCAGTCTCCAGCACTGAAAATAAATCAAAAGTAAAAGTAATGGGCTGGGGATTTAGCTCAGTGGTGCCACTGCCTGCCTCACAAGTGCAAGGTCCCAAGTACCAAAAAAAAAAGTATAAGTAAAAATAAATAAATGAGCCAAGAAAACAAACTGAGCTGTAATATTCTGAAATGTCAAAGCCATAAAAAGGAATGAGCCAGGGGTGACACACATGTAATCCCAGTACTCTGGGAGGCTGAGGCAAGATGATTGCAAGTTCAAGCAGAGCGGACAACTTAGCAACTCACACTCTCAATATTAAAAATATAAAAGGGATTGGAGATGTAGCTCCGTGTGAAGCCCTATGTTCAATCCCCAGTAGAGCAAACAGATAAATGAAACTCTGGACTTTTGGTGAAGATGGTATATTATATACACTCATTTATTCTTCCTCCTTGATACCTACTAACATGACAGTAAAAAGCTTTTTTGAAAGGTGTGAGCTAACAAAAACAAAAGAAAGAACTTCCACAAAGATTGTGACGTAGTGAACAGCAGAGAAAGAGCCTCTTGGATTTGGTGTCCTGACCCTGAATATAGAGGCCTGAGGAGAGGGAGGAGGAAAGCAAGGGTCTGAGGTGAGAATTGAAGTTCACTGGGAGAGCAAAGACAGACTTTGACAAAAAGGAGGGAAGTCGCAAACTGCCCTCTGCCAGAGCCGGGACACGGCGAGGGAGTGGTAGGCAGAACTGCGGTGTACGATAACTACTGGAAGCCACAGAGGCCTAGAGAAGCGCAGCAGTAGAATGGAGCAGTGGATGCATCACAGTGGAGTGGCTGGTGAGTTATCCGGGTTCAGACCTCACCCAGAAGAGGGCTGAACAGAGCTCAAAACTAGGACCCCATCTAGGGCTCCCACACGCCTCAGTGTGGGGGCTGAGTTCAAGATAGCAGAAGGTCAGGGAGCACAGTTCAAGCTGGCAGGAGACACATAGACTGTTGTAGGCTAAAGCGGTCTGAGCCAGATTCACAGCCAGCAATCAGCCTGAACTTCAGAAGAACTAAAGGGGCAGCCCAGGTGGAATTATCCACTACCCCACCATGAAGCTGCCGCTGGCTTCTGGGATTACTGTTTGGATCTGGACTGTTTGCCTGTATCAACTACAAGAGACACACCTTGAACTGACTTGTTTGTTTGGGTTTTTGTTTTTCTTTTTCTTTCTACTTGTTTTTTTTTTTGATTGTTTGAACACAGTTTCTAGGGCTTTGTTGTTGTTGTTCTATTCTGTTCTTGTTTTTCTTTTTTCCTTTTCCCTTTCCCACCTGTCTTCACCAATTTCCTAAATTCTGTCCTCCAACCTTGCTTCTCATCTTTTCCTTTTCTTTTATTTGTTTCTTCCCCCATTCCCTTTTAAATTTTCTTCCCTAAGAGTTAAAATCACTGTATTAAGCGTTTATATGCAATTTTCAGATTAGTTCCAGATTTTGTTATATAGCCACAAATCTAGTTCATACAGTTAAAGGTAGCAAATTAATAGTAGCCACAGTTGTCATTTTCTAGGCTGTATTACATGCTATTGTTATTGTTGATTGTACTACTTTAGGCAAGGTGACATAATTATACTAATTGGTTGTTCTCCTAGTATACCAAGACTGAGATTGTCTGAAGGTCTTTAAAAAAAATACACACACACACACATTTGCCAGTGCCAAAAAACTGGTAGCTGGGCCAAGTAGGCAAAAAATTCTATTCCCAATAAATTGAAGAGATAGGATTTTGCAATGACTCAAAACCCAAAATCCAGCTACACCTGAAGACACTTCTGAGAAGTAGTCATTTCCTAAGAGTTCTGAATACTGGCAATAAAGCTACTCCCATTAGCAATTTACAATCATCAACCAGGAATCAAACGAAAGAAAGAGAAAGAAGGAAAGGAAGGAAGGAAGAAACGAAGGAAAGAAAGAAAGAAAATTAGAAGACATTTAAAGAAGATGCAACATCCCCAGATTTTCAGCTCACCAAAGGCAAATCCTGGGGTGATAAGGTGGAACTGAAAGGCCAAAAGCCATCCACTTCAGACTGGGTGGTGCCAACGCCGGCCTCGCAAGCACAAGGTCCCGAGTTCGATCCCCAGTGCCTGCCCCCCAAAAAAAAATGTAGACACAAAAGCCATCCACTTGGACTCTGAAGTGGTTAAGAGCAAAAGTAACAAAGCAGATGAACAAGGAGCTAGAAAAAAAAAGCAGAAATAATTTCCCAGATAATTTCAGAGATGGTGGCAAGAAGGAAAGACATGCTTAGTGACTCTAGAGGAGATACAGATTTTAAAAAAGTAGAGGAGCTCAGGAACACAATGGAAACCATCAACACCCAGCACAGGAAAGAAATGGAATCCATGAATCAGATTCCAACAGATACCCAGATTAAAAGCTCTATTGAGGGGTCAGGGATTTGGCTTAGTGATTCTACTGCCTGCCTTGAAAGCACAAGGGCCTGAGTTCAGTCCCTGGTACCAAAATAAATAAATAAAAAATAAATAAATAAAAGCTCTATTTAAAGTATACACAGCAGAATAAGCCAATGTCAAGACAGAATATCAGATACAGACGACAGGATTGGGCTAGTGATCATAAAAAGATTTTCTTAAAAATAGAAAGGGACCATGAGAAATCAATTCAGCAGCTGCTAGATGATACAAAGAAGAATAACATAAGATTGGTCAGAGTCAGTGAAAAAGCAAGAGATCGCATAGACATAAAAAACCCTGTTCACAGAAGTAATGGCAGAATTTGATGTACCGATAAGTGAGGCATACGGGACTCCAATTAACCATGATAAAATGGTCCCCAAGCATTTAATAATCAAGATTTCAGAAATTCAACACAAGGACAGAATATTAAGAGGTGTTAGAGAAAAAAAACAAATCACCTATAAGGAAAGCCCATTAGAATCACAGCAGACTTCTTAGCACAAAATCTCACGTCAAGAAGAACTTGGAGTGAAGTGTTTCAAGCCCTAAAGGAAAACAGCCTCCAACCCAGACTGATGTACCCTCCAAAACTATCTTTCAAAATTGATGGAAACATAATATACTTTCACAACAAAGAACACCCGAAGAAATTCATGACCACCAAACCAGCACTCCAAAGTGTTCTAAAGACTATTCTAAAAACAGACAATAAGGATTGCAATTTCATGAACCCCAACAGAATGAATGCACCAGGCAAGGCTAGAAATTAAACAGAAAAGGAAAGAAGGGAGGCAACAACAGTAAAATAACGTAACAGAGCTAAGACAATACATATCAGTTATAACCATCTGTATTAATGGTCTCAATTCATCAACCAAAAGAAACAGAATGGCTAAACGGATCCAGAAGCAAGATCCAACAATACGCTGCATACAAGAAACATATTTAATTCACAGACTGAAAGTCAAGGGATGGAAAACAATATTCCATGTGACAGGAACCTGGAAAAAAGCAAGGATAGCCATTCTATTTGCACACAGAGTGGATTTCAAGACAAGAGTGATTAAGGAGGGTCAAAGAAGGTCTCCACAGCCTTGAAAAAAAAGCAATCCAAGAGGAAGAGATGACAATCATAAATATATATGCACGAAATACCAGTGCACCCAACTACATAAAATAATTATTAACAGACATGAAAATCACATCAGCCCTAATACAATTGTAATGGGAGACTTCGATACCTACCCTCCCATACAGACAGAACAACTACGCAAAAAAATCAACACTGAAATATTAGAACTGAACCAAACTTTTGAACAAATGGACACAGTGATGTCTATGGAGTGTTCCACCCCACAACATCAGAATGCACATTCTTCTCAGCTGCACATGGGACTTTCTCCAACATAGACCACATACTCGCTCATAGAACATGCCTAAGTAACTGCAAAAGAATCAAAATTATCCCAGTTATCATATACATATTATCAGACCATAGTGAAACTGGAAATCAACAGCAAATGAAGCCATAAGAACTTCCTAAACACGTGGAAATTAAACAACGCTGTCCTTAACAACCAGTGGGTCACAGATGAAATTAAAGAAGAAATCAGACAATTTCTACAACTGAACAATAAAGACAATACAACATA